TCTCTGGCTCTCCCCAGTCCCAGCTTGCAGAAGATTTTGCATCCACCATCATTCAGCTCAAGGACAGGGAAGGTTTTTAGGTGGGGAAACTGAGGCACACCTCTCTTCAGGCTGTGTTGGGGTACACAGCATTGATAGTAGCAAAAAGAAAAGAAGCAGTGGGGGGGAATAAATAGGAAAATAACTTGGGAAAGGTGGTTTCTGTCTCCGAGGAGCCTGAAAGAGCTTCAGGACCCAAAGTGGCGATGGCAGCAGAGCCTCAGTGACCAGACCTGTCCCTCCGGCTGCCTCATCCAGCACAAAGAGGGGCCACATCCAGCGAGAGCTGGCGCTGATTTCTGGGCAGAGGGTGGGATGACAGACCAGCACAAGAACTCAGGGGATGGGTATAACCATGATACTGCCCTGTGGGTGCCAGGGACCCTTCCTGAGGTGCGCTGTGCAAGGACAGAGACTCAAGCTCCAGGGGAGACAGATGCCACCACCCTCGGTGTTATTGGCCAGGAAAAGGTTCACCTAAACCCCGGAGCAGGGACCCTTTGGGCTATCGTTATCGTGCCACGCCAAAACATCCAGCTCTGTGCCAGCTGCTGACTGGGAGGATTCGGCTGGGGAGCCGAGACGCCGGCAGCGTGGAAGAGCCCTCCGGTGAGCCGTGAACGGAGTGCTGACTGCACAAGCAGAGACGGCCTCGGGGGTGAAAGGGAGCTGGATCACCAGCCCGGCTCTGCCCTCCCGCTCATCATACCTCCCTGTCACGGAGCTGGAGGTCGCTCACTTGAACTCCTGCACTTTGCTGGGCAGAGGAAACTCCCTGCAAACAGCACCGGGAGGTACCGGGGGCACCCACCAGCATCACCCTCCTGGCCATCCCAGCTGTTCCACGGGGATGGCATCCACAGGGCGGGATGATCCCCAAGGCCAGCGAATACCCAGGATTGGCAACCTTTGGGTTTGCATACCCAAAGCTGCTGCAAAGCCATATTGATGCTCGCTGATGCCTCGAGCCTTGGGAGCAGCTTTTTGGGGGTGACATCCTGATGCATCAACCAAAAGTAATAAACCCGGCTAAAACCAGAAAGAGACAGCCACGGATGTCACATGGGGATGAGCAAATGCATCACAAATATGTATCAGCCTCTTCGCTGAAAATATAGAAAACTCAGCGAAGGATAAAACAATAGAGGGGGGAAATGACAGTGTAAAATTGATCCAGACACATGACTAAGGAGTCTTGCGCTGGGCTGGAAATATTACCCTCTTCACAAAACCGCGCGCTGCACATTATGACGCATGGCATAACGTGCCGTGCTCACCAGCTACATTACATAAACATAAATCTAACACTTCATCTCGAGAGCTCGGCGGCAGCGGCGTTGTCAACACGCACAGAGCCTAAGGACTGCGGATGGGTCTGTCTGTCCACCGAAACGATGCCAGGGATCAAGGGGAGCTGCTGTACGAGAGGAGATGGGGACACCCCGCTGCTGGTCCTGCCTCTCCCCTTGGTGCCAAGGTGCCAATGCAGCTGGCACCCACCCCCTTTGCAGGATGCTTTGGGGGAGCACTTAAAACACTTTAAAATGGCCAAAGAAAATTCATCCTTTGCAGACGTAACATCTCTGCAACACCAGCGCCCAAAAAAACATCACTCTAGTGAGTAAGGACTGCCCGGCCATCGGTGCAACCAACACCATCGCCAGAGGCCAACAAGATAATTGCCAGAGTAATTACACTATATACAACATAATCACCCTCCCAGGTCAGTCTGTCTGGGCAGCCCACGGCCAGGGCCTGTTGCAGGAATAACCTGTCCCCAGGGCGAGTTTCTCCTCCCCTCGCCAGCGGAGGGGATCGGTTTGTGCCTCAAGCAGAAACGTTTTCCACTGCAACAGCGAAGGCTTTAACGCGAGGCTCTGCGAAAAATTGAAACTGAAGGTCAAGTTGATAATGCATCGGAAAGCAAACAGCTTGAATGCTAACTGCTAACTACAGCAATGAGCATTATTGCCTGATGGAAATAAAAACCGACTCTGAAGACTCAGGCTTGGCATGAGAAATGAAGCAGAGTGCTGCTCGGGAAGAGAGCAGGGAGATGCTCACCCTGCACCCGGGACCAGCTCCTTCCCCCAGCATAAATACCCCGGCACGGGTAAACCCTGCCGCTTGATGAGCCGCTGGCAAGCGTAGGCAGAGGCCAGATCCTGAGCGAGCTGCCGGCCCTTTGACATCACCTGGACAGGCTGGAAGCACCTGGAAGCAGCAGTGAATGGCAGGACCCTTCACGCTGCCGGAGAAGCACAAATGAGACCAGGTGTATACAAACAACCTCTAAAGGGAAGGGATGGATCCTTCCCCCATTCCCAGCAGCTCTGCGCTGCTGTAAAGCCTTCTGGTGTCGGGGAGCCATCCCTTATTTATGGGGGAAGGCAGAAAGGCAAAGCAGGCGCAGCCCAGCTCTCCCTCCAACCGCGCGGCTGCGGGAGGCAAGGCTGGGGGATTTTCAAACAAAGATAAAGAAAACAACACGTTTAAAAAGCCCATTCTTGGTCCAACTGCACCACGATTCACGGCTGTGGAGCAACCTTCCGTGGGCAAAGCAGCGAGGCCGACCCCCGGCGCTCCCTCCCAGCTTTCGGGAGCAGCTCGGAGCCCACCCAGGCACCCAAGGGAGAGCCGCTTCCCGGGAGCGCCACGCTGGGGTTGATATATGACGGCTCTTATAAATAAACGTCTTCCTGGAGCACGAGCAGGGGAGCAGAGTTACTGCTGATAACGCACGGGCTGCACTTACGCCGCTGTTATACCGCAATTACAGCGGAATTATGCTTTTTGATAACTAAATTATCACTAATGCACATAATCGTTGGGTTATGTGGATACACAAATTACAGGACTGCCTCAGCCCCGGATTAATACGCGTGCATTTCGACTCCATGTACACTCGTTTACTCTGCAATTACGCCGTCATATCATTAACCATCTGGTTATAGGAATTCGTGGTAATCGCAGGTATCTCAAAGAAGAAGTGCTCGTGCTGCAGTGGGACCACCAGTCACGACAAACGCTCCTTACTGGTGCTTACTGGAGGAGGAGCGTGGGTTCGAATCGTGCCTGTGCATCAACCTGCTCCTCCCGGCTACGTGCAGCCCAGCACCCAGACCCCCAGGGGAGCAGCACCCGTGGAGGGGGCAGAGCATCCTCCAGCCACGCGTGCTGCAGGATAGGGGCATGCAGGGGCCAGGCATGGGCTACTGAATCTGCTTAACCCCGTATCACTGTCACCTCCCTGTGTCACCCAGCAGTCCCATCAGCCCAGCTCTGGGCACCCCGTGGGGCAGGAGCTGCTGGCCCAAGGCAGGAAAGGAAACTCCCATTTTGGGGGGAAAAATGCTTATGGTAATGAAAAATGCCCCCCACACACAGACAAAAGGCTCCTTTCCTTTATTCCTCCTGTGGTCAGATGAGAACCTCCACCTCCTCACTAGCCAGACGAGGCTGCTGGTGGCATTTACAGACCCCTTCCACCTCCCCCAGACCTGCCAGGCATCCCTGAGAGCACCTTTGCATCTCCATATCCACATATTCCCTGCGACAACTCACCCTCGCGCTCGGCTGCGTGCGGACGCGACCCCAGCTCAGCGCAGGCACCCCAGCACCGCTCACACCTACATCCCCACCACGGGTACCAGCAGCACGCCCCGTGCCCAGCAGTACGACAAGCACCGCCCTCGTCTACTCCGAAGCATCCCTGCACTACTCCTCCTTGCAAAACCACAGCCCTGTGAAAATATTCTGCTTTTCAAGTTAAAATCCTGAAGAGCAGATTCCAGGTTGAATCCCCAGATGGGTTTCTCTGCATATTAAAAGCACAGCCGGTTCCCAGTGCCAGGGCCCGCGCGCGAGACAGAATTAACGCTGTTCCTATTTATAGGACTTTGATTAGGAGCTCGTCACCTAGAAGTTTTTATTCCCTTTATCCATTTATAAGGCCATAACACAGTTTGACTAGCTCCAGATAGGCTGGTGTCCCACCGATTTTGCCAGAACTTAATGTGCCATTCAGATACAGTTAAGCCAGTAATAGGCAGCAGCCTGTGCGCTGCAGGGTTTTAACTGCCTCGGAAAACCCTCTTTAGCTCCCGTCTCGCCCTGTGCACGCGCTGCTGCGGAGGCGAAGCGATGTCGGAGCGAGGAGGGACCCGGCGCTGTGCCACGGGGTGGCTTCAGGCTCATGGTCATAGCACCCATGACAGTAACACCCAGCGGTCCTCACCATCCCAGCCGGTCCTGGGATGGATGCTCGGCCACCAGCGCATACCCACAAGCTTCTCTGCTGCTCCCGAGGTTGCTAATCCCCCCTAAGCATCCCAGCACTCCCGTCAGCAAAATGCTTTCTGGCTCCACACAAATCCTCCCAAAGAGTTTTGCTGAGCACGGACTTTCCGCCTGTCCAAAGCCTATAGACAAGTTAAAGCACCTGCCCTCAGGGATAATTCCACTAAAATTGGGCGAAGCGCGTGTTGGTGCCAACTTTATTTTCTGTTAAAACCTGGGAACATTTGTAAAAGTCTTTTCTTCTGGAACGTGCCCAGCGCCGTGGCTCAGCTGTGCAGGGAGGGGGTTAGAGCGGCCCCGGCAGATCTGAGCTCTCCTGGTGAGCAGGAAACGGGATGTTGAGATGCCACCTCAAAGGAGCTGGCAGCAGTAAAGCAGCCTGCCCTGCACAGGCAGCCTGGGATCACTGGTCCCAATCCTTGCTGGAGAGTTTGGATCCTTGCTGGATGCCATGCTGTCCTTGCCACCAGCAGGGCAGCCCCAAAATCTGCGCTGCCCCTGGAACCACCCCCCAAACCATGCCATCTACCCCTTGCTCATGCACCACAACGACATCCCAGCTCAGACCAAGAAGCCCAACCAGACACATCCCTCCATCCCCATCCAGCCCCGGCCACTCCAAAGCCCACACTGAGCCCCCATCCCATGGGAAACCCACTCACCATCCTCCCTGGACTTCTGGATGAAGGCCTCCACGCCGCTTTCGCCGTAGCTGCCCTCAGAGGCCAAGGTGGAGACGTAGTTCCACTTGAGGGCTTTGACGATGTCCACCATGGCTTGGGCCTGGTAGGTGTCGGACGGGACGACGCGGGAGAAGAAGTCGTAGCGGCTGTTGTCGCTCAGGTCGGGCGCGGTGGACGCGTAGCTGATCTGGGGGATCTGGGATGGAGGGGAGAAAGACAAAGCATCAGGAGAAAGATGTCATCTCCACCCCACTGCGATGCCCTCGCCATGCCCATGCTCTCAAAGCTCTGCTCTGGGAGGGAGGGAGGTGGAAATCAAGGAAGACCATGGGTCAGGTGGGATCGGACATGGGATGCTCCATAGCAGGACCAGCAACTCACAGCGGGGAGACCACGCAGTGGAGGTTGATCAGCTCTGCTGGGTCTTGGGGGCAACTCAAAGGCTTCAATCCAGTGGTTTCCATCCATAACTGGGAACAGGAAACACAAACCCACCACAACCCATGCTGGGACACACATCTCCATACCTTCCACTCCGGTCTCAACCCACACACACCAATGTCTGGGAAGGGGGTGGGGAAATAAAACCATCAGAAAGCTCAGAGCTGCTTTTCTGCCCGCAGAAGCGCCTGGCTCTGCAGAGCCCAGCACGTCAGGAGGGCTCCGGGATCTCCCAAGGAAGAACAAAAACCAGCCCCAGCGCACAGCACCCAACAACACATCCCTGTGAGGTCCCCCAGGGAGCTGAACACATTCCTGTGAGGTCCCCCAGGGAGCTGGGTAGCCCTGGGCTTTGCAGGGGGAGGTTCAGAGCACCCCAGGCTTTCATTTCAGCACTAACATGCCCTCCTGCCTACTTCGAGCTCCCATCCATGCTCCCGGGGTGTTGGCCAGAACGAGAGCTGTGGGTGCCTCCGGGAGCTGCCTGGGCGAAGGGGACCAGCACCATCCGGGGACAGCAGGTACCAAGCCTTGACCACACAAGCTGGCTCAGCCCCTGGAGATGTTGGGGCTCAGGGACCCCTGAAGCTCCGGGACACCCAGCAGGAGCCCAGAAGGGTTTCCCGAGCATCAGATGTGCCCAGAATGGGATAGCTCAAAGAGAAAACCTCTCTCCTGCCCCAGACAGCGCTGCTAAGGCGCCCCTTTGGCTTCCTGCCCCAGGAAGGGCAGATCCTACCCCATCCAAGCCATAAATAAGCCCTTTAAATTAACCAGAGCTGCCACATCTCACACAGTGTATTAGAATGATTTACCACTGCAGGATTATGCGATGTTTAACACTTACACAGCACTTTACATCTCCAGAACACACCACAGATGTTAATTTGTCTTAAAGATGGAAAAGGCTTATTAAATTATCAAGCCCAGGTTCTCCCCACCAGCCTGCAGCTCCCTACCAAAGATGTACCCAACACCCAACACCCCATCCCTCATCCCACCCCCGAGCGGGTACCTGTCCTGGGTGCAGCCGGCACATCGCAAGGGCTGGCAGAGCCCTGCCCAAATCCCGGGCAAGGTTTTAAATCCAGCAACGATATAATTGCAGGGACTGGAGCTACAGCCCTACCCAGAGCTGGCACAACCCGGGGAAGGGTCCGGCTGCCCTCTCGCCTTCCTGCAGTCGCTGCTTTGCTACTGGGACAGAGCACAAGGAAGAAGAGCCCAGGGCATCGCCAATCCCAAACCACCCTGTGCCTTGGGGGCAAGCGGGTGCAGAGCAGCCATCCCCAGCTCTTAGAGGACGTTTCCCTTCTGCTCCCTCTAATCCCATTCAGGAATAATTCGGTAATGGCAGGAGCACAAGTGCTGCCCCAGCCCCGGGGGGCTGCAATGGATCCAGTAATCCCCCAGGCTCAGCAGGTCATGCCAGATGCTCAAATCAGCCCAGGTTGCCTTTGGCTTCACCCATCACATTTCCCATTAAGCCATTAGGCAATTCCCAGCAGCAGAGACACCTGGGTGGGCTTGGAGAGGACAGGGAGAGGGTTTGGGGTCTGTGGAGACCCTAGTTAGTGTTGTAAGATCAGCCACTTTGCTGGGAGCCTGGCTGGGTAGTGGCATCCCAAGGATGGGGAGACCTGCACAAGAGCCACCCCACGGACCCCCTCGGGTCTCCCAACCCTCCCAGCCCCCACCACTCACTCCATCCTCCTCCACTCCTGCTCCCAGGCTGCATCTCACAGTTTCTCCTTTGTTTCTCTGTTATTTTCCCCTCTTCCACTCCCCTCTCTCTCTCTATTAAATGCGATACCGGTGTAATAAACCCACGACTCCACCTGAATGCTAAAAGGCCCCTGGAAAGGAGCAGCCACCCTTCTACCTACCTGCAAAATAGAAGATGAAAAAAAAGGGAGAGATGGAGGAGTGGTAGAGGGAAAGGAAGGAATCTTTATCAAGGCACAAATAGGATTACTCTCTGTGACAATCTGCTTTGTGCTCCTTTCCGAGGGGCTGTGATCTGCTCGTTGGGTGCCTGTGACCGGGAGCCGGTGCATGAGACTTGATTAAAATTCTGCTCAGCAGGCGAGGCGCTCGTCTGGCAATCCTTCATCCTGGGGAGGGAACGGGGGGGCTGCTCTGCTCCTTCTCTCCTTGCTTCCTCCCTGCCCGGCCTGCAGCCGCGCTGGCCGAAGGATGGACACGGAGGCTGGGGAGGGAGGCGATGCACGGAGCGTGTCCATGCGACGAGGGCAAGCGGGCACGGAAAGCAGCGGCGCCCACGTCAAAGGGGATCTGGGGACAGGGATGCAATCCTGCCTTTCCAGAAGATCCTTTCCCAATGATTTTTTTTCTCTGCAAAGTGGTTTAGCTTAAACAGATCCCAGCTGAGGAGGCAGGGCGCTGGTGATGGAGACTTCCCAGCTATTCCCCAGTGACACTACGCATCCCACTCAAGCCCAGATGCCTGGAGCACACCTGGGTTTAACCCCCAGGCTGCCCATCCTGCTCGAATCCCTGCTGGAAAACAAAGCCTGGAAAATACCTGTTGATCTACAGGCTACGAATTGGAAGCTGTATTTTAATAAACAAACGGAAAGAGCTTTTCTCTCTTGATCCTCTGCCTTGGGTGGAAGTGAAAATAAAATACCAGTTCCCAAATGACCATTTCACAGACTTCTGCCTTATTTCCCCTCTGCTTTTGGATCTCCTGGTCTACAATAGCCCAACTCCTGGTTCCCAGCTATTTTCTCAGATAAAAGACAAAAGTCCTTTTAGGTCCATAAAAGCAAAATGCAGGCAGGGAATTGAAGGTTCTTAGAAAGGAGGAGGATGCTGTGGGGAGGGGGAGCTGGAAACGTATCTCAGCTGCATGTTTGAGCGCCGGTGGTACCCTGCCTGGCTCATCGCCAGCCTGAGATAAATACCATGTCGGGGAAATCAGTGGGACCAGCTCTCCTGCACCCCCAAGCTCCCTTATCCCATCAAGATCCGGGACTAACCCCGGACCAGGGGGGAAAACCTCCTTCCTCCCTTCTTTTGAACCAAAAAATGGAGTCAGCATCATCCAGAAGCACCCCCAACCTGGCTAAACATCCCTCAAGATAAGACAGCAGACAGGAGCAGGGATTGGGGGTGTCATCCTGCTCCCCCAGCCCCTGGGGCAATGGATCGGTGTGATCAACCCCAAACACACCGCAAACACACCTGGATTTCGTACCCATTTCACTGACACAGGTTTACAAGTCGATGCAGCATTTTCTCTACAGCAGCGGACAGAACCTCCTCCAGATTGGGGAGAATTAGGCAAAGGCAGCGATTTCAGCACGGCCCCAGCCGTCCACGATGCTCCGACTCGACCATCAACCTGAACATCAGCCTGAGCAGCCGGGAGGGAAGGAGCCGAAAACCAAACAGGCCATTGAACACCAGGGTCAGGAGCATCCCAAAAAGGGGCTCCTGCACCCGCCCCACTGCTCCTGGCACCAGCCCCGCCACGCCAGAGACGGGGTTGGGAGCAGCTAATTCCCTAACCATAATTATTAATTTCATGCGTATCTCAGGCAAACCTCTGGTTCACTGACAAGATGGAATTGATTTAATTAGAATTCCCATCATCGAGCCATTTGGATGGCAGCTTTTAATTAGGGAGAGTGTAAAGCACCGCAGGGGCCGCGCAGACCTTGTCACTGGGGCAGGGCGAGCATCCCACTGCCCCTTCCCCGGGGCTGCAGGATCAGGCCCAGCACCAAGACAGGACCCAGCCCTCGGTATCTCCTTGGAGAGTGATAAAGATCCCAAATCCCCGCAGACCCTGGGCTCACCAGGTCTCCGTGCCTCAGTTTCCCCTGCTGAAAATGGAGGGAACTGCTTCACGGAAACCACTCAGGCATCACGACGCACTGACACGACACAGAGCCGATAAATTCCTCCATCTCCCAGCTCCGGCCCCCCCGAGGGGCAGACACAACGTGGGGCAGGGAGCAGCGGACGCCCCCACTTGCCCGCTCCCTTCCCCGTTATACCAAGCGTGTAAACCGGGCAGCTCCGACGCCGGGGCTGACACCAGCCATCGGTCCCCTGCAATAAATCTGGCTCTTGTCAAGAAATAAAGCACTGGGAAGCTGCAGGAGGGTCTCCCGGCCAGCCTTTTCCCGGTGTGGAATTACGCCGAACGGAGGCGGCTCATCCGGCAGTGCTGGATGCAGATGTAAAACAAGCGATGGGAACGCAACTTCTTCTCAATTGCCCGTGGACCGCGCTTCCCGCACCAGGAGGCAGCTCCAGCAGAAAAAGAGCTGTTGCCGGAGGGCGGATGCATCCCTTTTTCCAACAAAGCAGCTCCCATCCCAGCCAGGAGCAACGCAGAGAGCCATGGCTCTTCCCTTCAGCCACCCCCCCAGCCTTCGGCATCCCGCTCCTCCTCACCGAACCGTGCTGTGCCCGGGCACCGAGGAGGGAGCCGCTGCCACGGCCGGGGGCTGTGGGGCCAGGGCAGCCCGGGGGAGCCAGGCAGCTGCAATTTATTTTAATAAACCCAGCAAAGAACCAGGAAACGAAGTGGCAGGAGCGGGCAATTAATCAGAGCGTCCCCCGGCCGATTTCCACCTTCCTGGCTCCATGAAGGTTATTCACCCACTGAGTGGGGAAGCCTGGTGCTGAACACAAGCATCCCTCCCATCCCGCTCCCCCAAAACCTCAGGGGATCCCCTGTGGTGGAGGATGCCACTTGGGAGAGACAAGGAGCAGACAGAAGGCTGGGGGGCTCAGCGCCGGGGGCCTGATCCAGCTCCACAACCCCCCCAGCCGCAGCAACCCAGCTCCAGGCAGCAAAACGTCGCGTGCCTGCAGGTGCTGAGCACCCCGACGGGCAGCGTCCTCCCTTGGGTGAATTATCCATGCTGTGCAACACCCCTGTGCTAAAAGGAGCTGCTGTGCTCGCTGCCGCAAATTAATAAAGCACCTCAAAGTGTCCGGCACGACAAGTCCATCCTCTCACCAGGGATGCTCCTCACCCCGGCTGAGCACTCTGGCTCCATCATGTCCCAGCTCTTTCTGGATGGGGTCAAAAAAACACATCCCAAACCCTGCCACGGAGTTTTGGGGATCACAGTTGCAGCAGATGGATCTGGTTCCTTTTACACCATCGTTGCTGCGGCGGTTCAGGAGAAACCGTGCAGAGCTGGGGCTGGAAAGCCAGCGGAAAGGGGTGGGCAGGAGCTGGAGCGTGCCAGAAAGCAGTGACGCCAGAGAGATGCTATCGCAAGGAGCCGAGGCTGGGGATTTGGGGGAAGGTTTTTCTGCAGGCAGAGCTACGAGTGATGAAACCGGCTTGGACAGAGGCTGCCGCATCTGCAAGTTGTTCCACTGATGTACAGCTTTAATTAGGCAGTGGCATCTAACGAAGGACACGTTATTTATTTATGTAGCGCGGGAGCGACAAAACCCCTGGCAGGGAGGGGCAAGGCTTGCTGCCGGCGGGGTTGGGGGGAGAGCGGGGATGGAGCAGAGCGGGATGCACAGGAGGGGAGTGTGGAATGGGGTGAGGGACCACGGAGGGGGATGGCATCATCCCAGGGCAGGAACGGCCATCTCGGCTGTGCACATGGTGGGGAGCAGAGAAGGGGGTTCTCCAAGCTCTGAGGGATAAATCTGGGGGGCTGCTGTGACCCCCCATCTTCCAGGGAGGGCTCTGCAGCATCCCCATGAACACAGAGTGGGGTGCAGAGCGGCTGCAACCCCCCTACCGCTGCTGG